TGTTGTTGTTGTTGTTGTGGTTTTTGGTTGTGTCTCTGTCCTTGTCTCTTTGTGAGGGTTTGCTGATGACGGTGCCGGGATGCCTGGAGCCGATCGTGGGCCTCGTGGACACCGGTGCTTCGCACACGGCCGGCCGCCCTTTCGGGCTCCCGAGGAGTCTCGCGGCGACCGTCCTACCGCCAGGTCCTGAACCGCCAGGCGGCCTACGTCTTGGGCCTTCGCGCCCGCGCCACACAAGCTGTTCGAGTGTGAGAATGAGAAACGCTTCCTTGCAAGCAAAGGTGCTGTACTCGCAGCTACGGGCTCGAGCTCCTTTCGAGCTGCCCCTTTGCCTGCTTGGCCTTGGCCTGCGCAGCGATGTGATGGCCTTGTGATGGCAGCATGCGGCCCGGCTCGCAAGGGGGCCGGCAGGTCGATTGGGGGAGAACTTTGCGCGAGCTGCGGGCCTGGCTTCCGCGCCTCGGAGATGCCCAGCAGGCGCAGCTCTCCGCCTTGGAGCTCGTCGAGCGAGGGGCCTTGGCGCTGCTCTTCCTGGCAAGGCAAGCGAGGCTCCATGGGCCGGGCGAGCGCGAGCGCGAGGACCGCGATCTCCAGAGCGGGCTCCAGGAGGAGCCGGCGGCGTCGGCCGCTTCCGCGGCTTCCGAGCTGCGCTTGCTGGCTCGCTTGCTGCAGGCGCAGGCGCTGAAAACGGTGGCCGAGTCTGGGTCCGACGGGTCCGAGGTCGAGGAGTGCGACTGGCGCTGGGTGGTGGCAGCGACGCTGAGGCCCTGGATGTCTGAGGAGGCGTGGTGTTCCCCACGTGTCGAAGTGGTGGACTATCGGCCCTGTTGTGGCACCGGGCTCCTCCTGGCATCCGATTGCGACCACAAAGACCTCCGAGCGGTGCTGGACATCATCGTGTGCGAAGCTAAGTCGAAAAAGGGGATCGTGGGTTTCTGCCGCTTGGTGAGCTGTCAGAGGTCCGCACCGGCTGACAACGAGCGGTTGGAGGGAGAGCCGGAGCTGGGCCGGCAACGTGTGCTTCATCGAGGGCCTTGGCATGGCTTCCGACCTACAGAGGGCGGTTACCATGCCTCCTTCGGCCCCGCAGGATCCGAGAGGGGGATCGCCCTGCTTTCGCACGCTGTCGAGCTGAGCAGCCCGAGCCCTGAGTCAGCCCTGTGATGAGGCAGTGCGCTCCACCGCTGGGAGGAGGTCACTGCGGCCGGCCTGGCGGCGCTGGCGGCGGCGCACAGTGCGAACAGCACGAGCGGCACGGCCCCAACGCCGCTGCCCTTGCTGTGCTACGGCGTGGGAGATGGGCTCCTTTGCACCTTCCTCGCACAGCACGCCCCAGAGGTGCCGTGATCCCTTTAAGGCCTCTTGGCCCTCATTAGATGTGGAAGTTTTCTGGAGCTTTTTGAGGTGCGGGTGGAAGTTTTGGAGCCGGAGGTTGTTGCCCTGGAGTTGGCCGAGCGGCACTTCGGCCTGCGACTGGACTCGGCCGGCGGCGGAAGGCCGCAGGTTCTGGGTCTGGAAGGCCAAGACGATGACGAGGGCTCGCCTTCGTTGGCACCGAGAAAAGCGGCCGAAAACGACGGCGGCGGCGGCGGCTACGCGGCGGTGGTGGCCTTGGGCCGGGGCCCGGCCGGGACTGGGACCCAGCCAGGCTGGGAGCCGCTGAGGCGCCTCTGCCTCGGCGGCTCCCGCTCCCAGGCGCCGGTGCTCTTGCTCGAGGCGCCCTGCGGTGAGAGGCAGGCCTTGTGCGCCAGCTTTGGGGGCTTCAGAGTCGTGGAGCTGCAGGCCAGGCACTTGCGGTGTTACGAGTGGAATCGCTGCCCGGCCTTTCGCGACAGGATCTCGAGAATGAGGACCACGACGAGAGCAGCGCGGACGTGGCTCAGACCGAGACCTCCATCTTCCTCCTCACACGAGACCTCCAGGCCTGCGCAGAGGAGGAGATCGCGAGGCAAGAGACGCGCAAGACCGCCGAGGCCTGCGCAAGAAGCGAAGACTCTTTGAAAAAAGCCGCCTTTGCGCGGCTTGCCCGCCATGGCCTGCGCGTGGCCTGTCATATAGGATTCCTTCCTGGATGTCATCTCACCGAAGCGGTGGTTCGACTTGCTGCTGGCAAGGGGAGGACGGGGCCGGGGCAGAGAGAATGAGAGAAGGGGGGCTTCGGCATGCGTGCTGCTTGCAGGGGTCCGCGGCGGCGCACCTGATGTGCTCGATGCGCAGAGAAGTCAGGCCAGCAAAGAACCTTCACTGAGCGCTGCACTGAGCCGAGTACTGCTCGAGGTGGTGTCGGCGGGCTTCCTCCCCCTGGCGACGCTGGGATTCCTGGAGCGCCTCGTGGCCAAAGCCGACGGCTGCGGCTGCGGCCGCGCGGTGCGCTCGGCGCCGCAGTCCGAGGCCTGGCAGGCGCGGACTGCGAGCGGGGCCCCGCGGCCCCGCAGTCACAGTTTGCGGTTGCCAGCGCGTCTCGTGCTCTTCGAGCTTCGAACAGGTCACGTTTCTTCAGACGGCCGGCTTCTTCGCGCGAGAAGCCCCGGAGTTGCTGGTGCCGCCGACCCGGTTGCGACCGTTCACTGCGTGAGCGCATGCGTCTCCTGGTCGCAGGAGAGCTTGGCCGAGATGGCGAGGTCGAGAAATGCGCGCCAGAAAGCGCCGCGATTCGGGGTTCTGGGTCCTTAATTTGGCGCAGGTCTGTGGGGCTCCGCGAGCACTGGCTGACTCCCGCCCAGGCGGAGCGGCTGCAGGCCATGTCCCAATAGATGCCAATGGGAACGCTGTGCTGCACCATGCTGCACCTGACTGGCGACTTAGGCGAGAGTCGTGGAGTGGCATGATCAGGTGCACGGCTCGTTGCGGACGTCAGGTGAGGCTCGTTTTGCGGCCTTGCGTTTGCACAGGGGGCACCTGGACCGGGCATCCCGGATCCTCGACACTACGACATGGACAGCCTCGTGACCGTGGACGTCCTCTGCGCCGTGCCTCGGCGGGCAGAGTCGTAGAGACCTTCCGATTTAAAGTTCCCCTCCTTTTTGTTGGTGAGGAGCCCAAGGAAGGCTTCGAGGGCGGCGAGCTGCGCACCTTGGAAAGCGATGGGAGCCTCAAGGCGTAGAGAGCGCAGTTAGCCCCGCACGGACTGGGCGCCGGGGCGCCTCTCCGCCTCTCCGCCCCGCGCCTGCCAGGAGCAGAGCTTCGGCCTGCTCGAGGTCCTCGTCTTCCAGGCCTGGCTTAAGACTTCTGTACACTGCGGCATACTGCGGCCGCACCGTACTTCGGCAACAAGACCTTGTGACGTCAGACTTGAATCCTTATCCTGCCATTGATGGCTGTTCCGGATCGTGTGCCGCTCGGCACTTGCCCCGCTCTGTGTGTGTGTGTCTGTGTCTGTGTGTCTGTGTGTGTCATGCCCGCGGCATCCATGACACAGTCCGTGCGGAAGATCGGCGTAGATGACCCTTCAATTCACAGAATCGCATAAGACTTATAAGGCTTGTATCTGCTCCGGCCACAGTTCTAAGTTCTGCGCGACTTCTCTCGGGAGGCCCACAAGTACCACATGGTCGCCCCTGTGACGCGCGGCCGGCGCCGGGCCTTGGTGTTGGAGCCGCGCGCTGAGAGGGGCGAGCACCAAAGGTGGGACAGAGGTGCTCAGGTGCTCCTGCTTTCGTCAGGTTCTGGGATGGGCCAGCGCGCGGGTGCCCTCACCGGTCGGATTCCAAGAAACTTGGGCTCAAGGAAAGTGCAGTGATTTCAGAATGCGAGGTGCATCAGCTTCGAAAAGCGCTGCCCCTTGGAGCCCAAAGGCAACGAGCGCGAAGAGCCGAGGCGGGCGAGGGCGAGGGCTTTTGGTCTGCGCACCCGTCTCACAGCCCGAGCCTCAGGAGAAAAGCCTTTGGAAGGCCCCGGCTTTGGGGCGCTTTGGCTTTGGGAGGGGCCGGCTCTGGGGGTTCTCGCGCTCTGAGCTCCGGAGGCGGCTGCCCTTCCGCCTCGCTTCGGCCCAGGCTGAGGCCTGCGGCGCGTCCCTGAGGCTTCTCTGGCAGTGCAACGAGCCGACGCAGTGACGGTGCAAAAATGCAAAAAAAGCGACGTGCCCTTTTGATGGATCCTGAAGGCATGTGCGGGAGCGAGAGCCTTGCCTTCCAAGCTCAGGTAGATGTAGCTGCAGAGAGGCAAGGCGAGACGATCCACGACAGTTTCGAGAGTCACCCTAGCGCTGCTAGGAAGGTACGAGGGATTGGTCTGGATAATTCAGTGCCCTGAGCTCGGAAGTTAACGGAACGGGAAAGGGGGGCCCTGGCCCGGGCCGAAGCCCCGAAGCCTGGCCGAGGCTTGAGATGCCGCTGCTCAGCCTGGCCAACATCACCCTGTCGAGTGCGCGGCCACTCTGAGAGCAACGTCGTCCCTATATGTGCCGCCTATTAGTGCCCATAAGTCCATAAGTCGAGTACGAGTCCGAGCCCGAGGCACGTGAGCATCGCTCCTCACGAGCCAGGCAGAGCCTGCCCAGGTGTTGTTTTTTTCTTCTTTTTCTTTCTTTGTGGCTGCGCCACTGCGCTCGGCTATACATCTGATGTGACACTCAGGAGGGGTTTTTATTTTTTTTGGCGCGCTCTTCGCTCTTTTGAGGCGGCGGTGCCAACCCCGTGGAGGGGCGGCGCTCCTGGCGGTTTCGCAACACAGGCGCGCTTACACGAAGAAGCCGAGCAAAGGCCCAAGAGCGCCGCGGAGAGAGAAGGAGCGGAGGAGTGGAGCTGGTGCCTGTGGCCCTGTGGCCTGGCAGCTCTTCCCCAGAGCCCTTGCCCGGATAGTGCTTGGAGTTTGGAAGCCTCTACCGCCTCAATTGCCCAACAGCGCCACGAACTCCCAACAGGCCCCCCCCCCCCAATCCCAATGCACTTGCCCCGAATGCCCAACGGCCTGCCCAGGCAGGGCCCTCTTGCCCTTCCGTGTGCGTCGGATCGAGGGACCGTCAAAGAAGAGTACGACACGAGTAACACGAATGCTTTCTGCATTTTCTGCTTTCTGCGCGTGTTCTGCCACCAGAGTTTCCCATGGCAGGCGCGCGGATCAAGGGTCCCATTGCCACGTTCCCGGAGGCAGTGGATGTTGGTGTTGGTGACATCGGCTTGTTCCAGGACGGAGCCCATAACGACCAACGACCTGCCGCAAGAAAAAAGCAATGAGATAACTTCATGGAAGCTCTGCGGATGGCCTCGAGACAAGTCTTGAGTGATCCTCCGCACATCTGCCAATGCATATCATATCATATCATATCATATCATATCATATCATATCATACTTCCCAGTGATTTTAGTGTTGATGCCGTTGACTCCATGCTGGTGCAATGACGTCTCTCTCTCTCTCTATATATATATATCTACGTGTCTGCGTGTGTTGTCTACCTATGGATAGTACCCCGAAAGATTTGCTCCTATCTGGCTTTGCTTTACAAGCCTCGTACACAACGTGAAAGGGCCCTTGAATCCAAGACAAGGATGCTAAATATTCTCCGTTACTCGTCCAATAATTGCCAACCCCCTGGGATGTGTCGCAGGATGGAGTGGCTTTGGTTTGTGTAAGAGGGTGCTGGCTCTGACTTGTGGGTATTCACGTGCCCTGCCCAATGGCCTTTTTGGGCTTTCATCCTCCGCCGAGCTGCTCCAAGGGAGTGACTGCAAGACTGACCTGTTAAACACCTGACAAGTTTCAGAACCGGTCGATTTCGAGGAAGTCCAAGATTTATCTGAGGGCATGTCAGAGCCTACAGAGAAGGAGTCTCTTGCAGGAGCCAAGGACCACAACGAGGCCTGGTGCTGCCGACTAGGTATTTACTACAACAGGGGGCTCTCCGGGCACGAACGCAACTGGGTGCAATCAGCACTAGAGGGAAACTTCTCTGCCAAAGTTGCTCAAGACTTCGGGGCCGGTGTGCGGTACTGGGCGGCCAACCCCGGGATTGTGCAGTGCGGGGATGACATCTTCCTGGGCGACCTCGATGGATACCTTGCATCCTGCCGCGCACTCTGAAGGAGGCGTGCCTCGTGCCAACGCCAAAGCAATGTTCATCTGTCACCACAACCCTTCCGGACGACTGCCGGTGCTTACCCTACCAAACCTCAGAAGCCGTGCGATGATAGCAAGATTCATTGCCTCCGATGTGCACAGATGGGCCACCGAGTGGCCAACTGCCTTCAGCCTGCTCAACCGGACCAGGCCGTGAAGACCGCAGACCATGTAGGAGGCAACATCCGAGTTCATCCGCTGCAACGACCTGCTGGGGAGCACAGTGCAATGTCCTCGGAGGGTGAGGCGGCCCACATCCATGGGATAGGCACGGCGCACGATGTTTCCCCAAAGGACAAGCAGTCAGTGATCGATGGCGGGGCAACCCACGCGCGGGCATCGTGCGCAGCAATGGAAGCCATGATGTCAAATGTCGCTGAATGCTCACAAAGCAGCCTGCTGAAATTGGACAAGTTGGACTGTCCCGCCTTTGGTCCCAGACTGTCTCCCAAGCATCGAAGTCCTGCTCAATCGCAGTGCTGAGTCTTTTCACAAGCGGCGAAATCAAGTAGTGCAGGTGTAGAAAAAGAAGTACTCTCTGAACTCTTTGGTGCCAACATCACCGGTGTCCCAAGTCATCTGTGGATGAACATCAAGAAACTCATAATTTTATCGCTAACCCGAGGCCGCCTCGGCAACGGTAGTCGAGCCTGGGAGCGGGAGCGAAGCCCCGCCGCGCAGACGGTCCTCCCCCACCCCCCTCCCCCCCTCTCCCCATCCCCCCACCATCCCCCCACCCTCCCCCCACCCTCCCCTTGTTTATGTAATAGCCCATAAGGGCATAGTAGACTTACA